ATAAAGCATAATATTGAAAGAATTATAAGGAGAAACAAATCCACAGTCATTGTGAGAGATTTTAACACACAACCCTCTCCATGACCAACAGAGCAAACAAAAATGTAGTAAGTACCTAGATGATTTGAACCACACACAGCAAATCTGATAGACTAGATAGGCAATGAAGTATGCATGTAATGATTTGCAGAATACACATTCCTTCCAAACATACAAGAATGTTTTCAAAACAGAGCAAACTGGGTCATTACACAAGTGTCCAAAACTTCAGTATATTTTCTTTTTTTTTTTTCATGATTTATTTATTTATTTGAAAGGCAGAATTACAGAGAGGCAAAGGCAGAGAGAGAGAGAGAGAGAGAGAATGAGTCTTCCATCTGCTGGTTCACTCCTCAGATGACCACAACGGCCAGAGCTGCGCCTATCCAAAGCCAGGAGCAGGTACTTCTTCCGGGTCTCCCATGTGGGTGCAGGGGCCCAAGGACTCGGGCCATCTTCCACTGCTTTCCCAGGCCACAGCAGAGAGCTGAATCGGAAGTAGAACAGCCAGGACTCGAATCACATGGGATGCCGGCTACAGGCGGCCGCTTTACCTGCTATGCCACAGCACTGGCCCTCAGATTATTTTCTGACCTCAGTACAACTGAACTGGAAGTGAACAACAAAAAGATAACTAAAAAATCCTCACATGTTTGAAGAATCACAAAGATATCTCCGTAACCATGAGTCAAAGAGGAGATCGTGGTAGAAATTAGACAACAGTTGGACTGAATAGTAATGACTAGGCCATATACCAACAATGCTGGGCACAGCTAAAACAATACCTAGAAATGTACAGCTTTGAATACTTACATTAGAAAAGAAAGTCTGAAAGACAGCATGCAAAAGCTGGCCTCAAAATAGAAACAGATCAGCAAATTAGACCTAAGTACAGTAAAGGAAAGAAACATAAAAATGAGAGTAGAATTTGACAGTCAGGAAACAAACACTAGAGAGGATCCTCAAAGCCCAAGTTGTTTGATTAAAAAAAAAAAGAATAAACTCATTGAAGAGATCAAGAAAAAGCAAGGACAGAGCTGGCACTGTGGTGTAGTAGGTTAAGCATCTGCCTGCAGTACCAGCGTCCCACATGGACACCGGAGTTCAAGTCCCAGCTGCTCCACTTTTGATCCAGCTCTCTTCTATGGCCTGGGAAAGCAGTGGAAGATGGCCCAGGTCCTTGGGCCCCTGCACCCACGTGGGAGACCTGGAAGAAGCTCCTGGCTCTTGGCTTCCAACCGGTCCAGCTCCAGCCGTTGTGGCCACTTGGGAAGTGAACCAGAATGGAAAACACCTCTCTCTCTCTCTCTCTCCTCGCACTTTCGCTCTCGCTCTCTCTCTGCCTCTAACTCTGTCTTTAAATAAATAAATAAGTCATTAAAAAGAAAAAGCAAGCGCAAACACAAATCACCAATGTCAGGAGGCATCACTTGGACCCTACAGCAAGTGAAGAAATAACGAGGTGCAGGCTTCCAGCAGCAGCTTGCGACATCCGCATCCCATCACACAGAGCCTGGACTGGAGTCCGGCTCTCCAACAGCATGCACCCCGGGAGGCAGTGGGCACGATGGTTCCAGTGGCTGGTTCCCTACCACCTGCCACAGGAGACACCAGATTGGAGTTCTAGGCTCCTGTTTCCAGCCTGACTCAGCCCTCACTTTTGCAGGCATATGGGGAGTGATCCAATGGATGGAAGATCTCTCTGTCTTTCAAATAAACATGATGATAAACAATTTTAAAAAAGAACTAATGAGAGGGGTCAGCACTGAGGCGTAGTAGGCTGTAGCACCAGCATCCCATGTGGGTACCGGTTTGTGTCCCGGCTGCTCCTCTTCCGATCCAGCTCTCTGCTGATGGCCTGAGAAAGCTGTAGAAGATGGCGCAAGTGCCCGGGACCCTGCACCCAGGTGGGAGACTCAGAAGAGGCTCCTGGCTTCGGATCAGCTCAGCTCCTGCCATTTTGGCCATTTGGGGATTAGACCAGCAGATAGAGGATCTTTCAGTCTGTCTCTCCCTCTCTGTGTGTAATACTACCTCTCAAATAAATAAATCAATCTTTAGAAAAAAGAATATGAATGAATGATTTTATGCCAATAAACTTGGAGATGCAAGGGAAATAAGCAAGTTCTCAGAGTACAATACAACTTACAAAAATAGATTCAGGCAGAAAAAGAAAACTCCAAATAACCCCGTAAGTATTAAATAATTTGAATATGAAAATAATGCCCCACCCACCACCCCAACACAGTGGATTCCCTAGCATATTCGACTATATTTAAGACATGCAAAAAATTGCTAATTTTCACTTTTTAAAAAAAGATTTATTTCATTTATTTGAAAGGCAGAATGACAAAGAGGGAGAGAGAGACAGAAAGAAAGAGACCTTCTGTCTACCAGCTTAATTCTCCAAATGGTGGTAATGGTGGGACCTGGCCAAAACCAGCTGAAGCCAGGAGCCAGCAGCTTCTCCCGGGTCTCCCACATGGGTGCAGGGACCCAAGGACTTGTGTTATCCTTCACTGCTTTCCCGGGCGCATTAGCAGAGAGCTGGATGGGAAGTGGAGCAGCCGGGACTTGAACCGGTGCCCATATGGTATACTGGCACTGCAGAAGCGGAACATAATCTATTATACTACAACACCAGCCCCAACTTTCACTTTCATTTCATTACCTATACTTCCAAAGAGCAGGAAAAAAAGGGAATATACTCCTGCTTATTTTGTGAAGTAGCAAAAACATTTTAACAAAACGTGACAAAGAAAAACCACAATCAGTTTCATTCCCAAAAATAGATGGGTGCAGGTGTTTGTCCCAGAAGTTAAGAAGCTGGTTGGAAGGGGTCAGCTTTGCCTGGGTCAGCTGTCTGCCACCTCTGACCCGGCTCCCTGCTAATGTGCCTGGACATCTGGCCCAAATGCCTGAGTTCTGCCACCCAAGTAGGAGACCTGGATGGAGTTCCTGGCTCCTAGCTACAGCCTTGTCGAGTCCAGGCTCGCTTGCTCTCTCTCTCTCTCTCTCTCTCATTGCCTTTTTTTTTTTTTTTTTTTTGACAGGCAGAGTGGACAGTGAGAGAGAGAGAAAGGTCTTCCTTTGCTGTTGGTTCACCCTCCGATGGCCGGCGCGCTGTGCCTGGCGCACCACGCTGATCCCATGGCAGGAGCCAGGTACTTCTCCTGGTCTCCCATGGGGTGCAGGGCCCAAGTACCTGGGCCATCCTCTACTGCACTCCCTGGCCACAGCAGAGAGCTGGCCTGGAAAAGGGGCAACCGGGACAGAATCCGGCACCCCGACCGGGACTAGAACCCGGTGTGCCGGCACCACAAGGCAGAGGATTAGCCTAGTGAGCCGCGGCGCCGGCCCCATTGCCTTTCTAATACTAACATTAATACTAACACTGACATTAATACTAACATTAACACTAATACAGATGCTGGTTAGGATGCCCCTGTCTCATGTCAGAGTACCTGGGTTAATCACCCAGCTGCGCTCCCAATTCTAGCTTGTCACTAATGACAACCTAGGAGGCAGTGATGGCTCATGCTGCTGAATTCCTGCCACCTGCCTGGGAGACCCAGGCTGAATTCCCTGGTCCTAGCTTTAGCCCCAGGTGGGGATCACTGCAGGCATTTGGGGAGCTGACCAGCAGATGGGAGCTATCTCTGTCTCTCTTCCTCTCTGCCTCTCAAATAAAGAAATACTTTAAAAAAGAAGTAACTGCAAAAGCCCTAATATAGCCAGTCTCCAAGTGCCCCCAAAGTCCTCTGCCTCCAGGTATTCACACCTTTCTGTAGCTTTTTCCCACAGGGACCTGCAGACCAATCTCTATACAGAGATTAGATGACAAAGGACACTGTGTCTTCCAACGGGGTGGCGTCCTCTCTGAGGTACTTTGCTGCCATGTGAGCTGCGCGTGGACAGCCACCTGGGAAAGAACCAAAGGCTCTGGCCAACAGGCACACAGCGGATCCTCAGGCCCACCCACCCTGCAACAGTTTCTTTTTCATGAAATTGTGTCATATAAGTTAACATTTAGTAGGTTTATGATTTTTTACATTTACTTAAGGGGGACAAGGGTCATGGTGCAGCAGGCTAAGGTGCCATTGGGGATACCTGCAACCCATATCAGAGTGAGGGGCAGCAGGTGAGGGCGCACATGCTCGGGCCCCTGCCACCCACGTGGGAGACCCAAGAGTCCCTGATTCCTCCGACTTCAGCCTGACCCAGCCCTGCCTTTTGCTGGCATTTGGGAAGTGAACTAGTGGATGGAAGATCTCGGCCCCGCCTCCCCAGTTACTCCGCCTCTTAGATAAATAAATATTTTCTGGAACTGGCACTGTGCTATGGCAGGTTCAGCATCCCATATGGGCAAAGATTTGAGTCCCAGTTGCTCCTCTTCCCATCCAGCTCTCTGCTAATGGCCTGAGAAAACAGCAGAAGATGGCTCTAGTTCTTGGGCCCCGCACCCTCCTGGGAGACCAGGAAGAAGCTCCTGGCTCTTGGCTTTGACCTGGCCCAGCCCTGGCAGTTGGGGCCGTTTGGGGAGTAAACCAGCGATGGAAGATTGATCTCTCTCTCTCTCTGACTTTCAAATAAATAATAAATCTTTAAAAACACAAATCTCTCTTAAAAATGACATCTCACAAACTCCTCTTTTGCCTTTTCACAAAGTGCCTTCCTTCTCCGTGTTTAATGATTGTCCTAGAGTTTTCATAAATACAAAGAAAACAAACTTGGAGGATAAAAAGGCACAAAATACAGCCTGAGCCTTCTTCGTAGTTTGCAAGAATTAACTTAGACTTCTAAGCCTGCTTTCCTAGTCAGCCGCTCTGTCACTCCTCACAAGCTCTTTCGCGCTCGGGGACCTGGGACCGACGCTCCCCGGGGCCTCGCGTCTGTGCTCGGGGACCGAAAGCCGAAACCCCGGGGCTCTGTGCGCGCGGTGTCGGAAGCCGGCGAGGGGACCCGCTGCCGCTCCCCAGCTGCGCTGCCCGCGGTCCCGCGCCAGGGGACCCACAGACCTCGCGGCTTGGTCATGGGCACGGGAAAGAGACCAGGTGAGTCCCCCAACTCCGAACCCAGAGCTCGAAAAGCCACATCCCCGCTCGGGACGCGCCCACCATGCATTTCCGGCACATCCCCGACCCAGGCAACCACTAAGTCAAGGGTTTCCCCAGGGGCTTGGGGTGGGGGGAGCAGCGCTCGAGGACTCGCTGGCGCTCCCACAGCTCCGCGCGCGCTGTCCCCGCGCCCCGGCCACCACCCACGCGGAGGCACCGCTGACTCAAAGTTAAACGGGGCTCCCACGGCCTCCGCACCTGCCTGCTCTGGAGCCCGCGGAAGGCTCGGACGGCTTGAGGGGAGCACAAAGTTGGCCTCGCATTCTCCTGTGCTCCGGGGACGCTCACTGGCCCGAAGTCATCGCCAGTCCCGCCGCCGCCGACCGCCCAGCACCAGCCGGGCAGGTGGAGGACGCTGCGAGCGTGTGGGGCGGTCCCCTCCCACGTCACCCACTCCCCGCGCCCGCCCAGCCCCGCGCCAGGGCGCTCAGAGATGTTTATGGCCTTGGGGTTCCTGGGTACGGACCCGCCTCAGGCCAGAATCCAGAACGCCAGAGAGCGACACTTAGGACCTCGGCCCTGCCGTGTGGTTTGGCGGTGAACGCCTTAGCCACCTCGTGTCGTTTATTCAAAGCAATAGCCCCCAAACGGAAGAACGACTCTTGGCCCCCCTATTCAAAGAAACTGAGGCAGCCAGCTGGTAAATGGAGAAGCCGGCCTTGAGACCGAGTCTGGCCGACCTGAAGCCCCCTAACCGAGTATCCCCCCACCACGATCCCTCTGCTCTCCAGCGGCTGGCGGGACGCCCTCGCTGCGGTGGGGTCCGAGCGGACAGCTGGGAGCCGCCGCGGGCACCGCAGATCCCACGTCTTGTCCCAGCCTCGGCGCGGAAAGCGTCTGAATGCGGAGCGCGGTCCGATTCCCGGCTCCGAGACCAGCGGCGAGCGCAGCACCGCCCCACCCCCGCCCCGCCTCCTCTTCTCTTCCTCCGGAGTCCCCGGAGAGCGCTCCAGGCTCTGCCGCCCGCGGCTAAGCTCTGTACCTGTGCCCACCAGCATAGCAACCTGGCTCGCAGCTCTCACCTGGCCTCGAATTCGGCCTTTGGCCCGCCCCCAACCCCATTTGGGTCCCGCTCCTCACTCCACCCGCGCTGCCCTGGGGAAAGACTCACTGCCAGTGTCCCTGTGTTAGGTAGGAAGCCAGGAATTGAGCCCATGTGTGTATGAGAAGGCCTGAAGACCAGCACCCACTGCGGAAGCTCCAGAAGCCCAGCATCTTGCACTTCAAAGTCCTGCCGGGATCCTGATGACCTCCCAGGTGGCCCCAGCCCTTCCCCCTAAGGAAAGCTCCCAGGAGAATTCTCTCTCCTCAGGACCAAAGGGGTTACCTGATAACCTGGGCAGTAAGACCTTCTCAGACACGCCCTAAGGGAAGCCCCCCTGCTCTGCCTGGGCGCCAGCAAATCTGGGGAGGAATTTGCTAATTTCCACCCAACAGACCTTTCTGCCAGGACTCTCCATCCTTTGCCCTGGAGGAGAGGGGGAGGTGGGTGAACAGACTCCCTTAAAAACCCAGGGAGTCCAACCTGACTGCGGGCTCAGCCCTCTGCCTCTCTGCTGAGCCGCCTGCCTGGCCTGCCCAGGTGTGCTTTCTCCACTCAACCATGTAACCTCGCTCTCCCCCAGTCTGAGCCACTGGGCGCTCTCTCTGTCCTGTCTGTTCTGATGGATGCCCTGTTCTCAATAAAGCCTTATCACTCCGCTGTCTCACGCTTGAATTCTTTCTTGTGTGAAGACAAGAACCCCATGGCTTCCACGGATTCCGCGGCCTTCCCCCCCAGAAACACCTGGAAGGAACCTGATGGATTTCAGATGCACTGAGCATTTACGGAATGCCTTTCAAAAGGCCATAGTGTACTGTGACCTAGCTAAGTGCAAGCCTAAGAATTTTTTTAAGAGGCCTAATAGCAAAAATGCTTGCGAAGGGGGTGGGCTTGTTACCTAATGTTTAGGACCTGGACTTCCCATTATCAGAGTGTCGGGGATGGAGTCTGGGCTCCAGTTCCAGATTCCAGATTCCTGCTGATGAACGCCCTGGGTGATTGGTTCCCTGATGCCCACATGGCAGATCAGGATGGAGTTCCTGACTCCTGGGGAAGCCTGACCCAGACCCAGCCCCCTCTCCCCTCTCAAATAAGCAAATATTTTAAATGTTTGTAAAACGGGCAGCGTTTATGTATATACAGTATTACTTAATTACATCCTGCCGTGTCCTAAAAAGGATTTAAGGATACAAGGTAGTGTAAATAGAAGAGAAAAAGGACAACCCCATGAATCGACCAAGTGCCTATGGGAAGGGAGCAGGAGGAGGCACCAGCGATCCACAGCCTTGTGCAGCTGAGTCCAAAATTCAGCTTCCCAGCAGCCAGCAGAAGGCAGAAACTGCTGGTCCCATCCAGGGAGGTCCCCCCATTGTGCCGCAGCCGGTTAAATCGCCGCCTGCGTTGCTGTTGTCCCATCTGGGAGCCCCAGTTCAAGTCACAGCTGCTCAGTGTCCAATCCAGCTCCCACTAATGCCCCTGGGAAGACAGCAGAGGATGGCTCCCAAGTGCTTGGTCCCCTGCCACCCACATGGGAGAAGCACATGGCTTTTGGCTCCCAGCTCTGGCTTGGTCCAACCCCAGCTGCCACGTGGGGAGTAAACCAGCAGATGGAAGATCTGTGTGTGTCTCTCCCTCTCTCTCTGTCACTCTGCTTTCAAATATATACAATGAGTCTGAAGAAGGAGAGGCGTCTGCGGTTCCAAGGTGGGCTCTCTGTGGTTGCTAAGGGTCCCTGCCTGCTCTGGGGATGACTGGCTAGAAGTGAGGGTTGGCCAAGGGAGGGTGCATTTGTCCGTCTTCCACCTGATCAGGAATTCCACACAGCTCTACACAGGAGAGCCAGGCTGTGGCTCTGGGTGTCCAGACTTGTGGCCACACAGTGTCCACTGCCACCTGAGAGCTACGGAAGAAATGGCTGTGCACCCCACCTGCAGCTGTCTGCGGTCAGCCCAAGGGTAGCCGCTCCCGGTGGGGCCCCCAAGCTTCAGCACTGTGGCTGGCGCTATTTTGCCACTGTGACAGGACTGCCACTTCTCCGTGGCTGTGGTCCCATTTCTGGCTGTTACCTTAGATGAACTGGCAAATCCTTGTCTGATCTGAATCCCTGCTACTCTGGAACATTCCAGTCACTCCCAGTGTCCATGGGGTACACACACCTCTAGTACAGGTCTCTCTGGGCCAAAGGCCAAACTCCGTCTTTCACAATCAGATCTCTGTCATCTTGAGCCTCATAGGAGAAGCTTCACTTGGCACCCTGGGAGCTAAGATCCACCCAACAGATCCTAGTGCCATCGGTAGGACCTGCTGAAGGTGTTCTGAGAAGACCCAGTAAGCCAGTGTTGCCTCCCAGTCCACTTGCAACCGTGCTTCCTACCAGGAGAAGTGCTTGGGGAAGAAGGAGCCCCAGTGGTTTTGTTAGGTAGGATGTCATATATGAGCTAATGTGTGTGTGACAAAGGTCTAAAGAGAAGACATCTGTGTCCAGCATCTGCATCTCAAAGTCATCCCAATGACGTTTTAGGGGCAGCCTAGTGTTCGCATGCTGTCCTACCCTCTCCTACCCGATAATTTGCCAGGTGGGGGTCCCCACCCCTTCTGCCTGATAACCTTCCAGGTGCAGCCCAGTATCTATCGGCACTTCAAATGGCCCTCCCTGCCTTTCCCCACCCACGGGGTGGCGCCAGCCAGACTTCCTCCTGTCTGATTACTTCAGAGAGAAAACTCAGATAGGAGTTTTTCTATTTACATCCAAAAAGTCCTTTGTTCCAAGAGGAGCAGAGGCAGGAGGGCAAGGCCCATCCCCTTAAAAGCCCCCGGCCTCAACCGGACTGCGCGCTCAGCCCTCGGCCTCTCTGCTGAGCCGCCCGCCTAGCCTGGCCAGGTGTACTCTCCACTCAACCAAGTAACCTCGCTCTTCCCCCAGTCCAACCAACTGGGCACTCTCTCTCAGGTTCTGTCTGGAGAGGTGCCCATCCGTTCTTACGGATGTCCCTTCCCTAATAAACCTTGCTATTTTACTTTCCACTACTCTCTGTCTCACCCCTGAATTCTTTCTTGCACGAAGAACCCTGCCATTCTCCGGTAACAGTTTCTGCCACCCCACGAGAGCAGCAAGTTCACAGCCTCAGAAGAATGGAACAGCATGCTGGACCTAGATGTCAACTCCTTAGGCCTTTGTCACACACATAAGCTCATTTCTGACTTCCTACCTAACAGAACCATGTCTCATGTCTTCATTCCCGGAGCCTCACAGGGGCTTAGCTCAGAACGGGCGCAGTTCACTGGCAGAGTAAGCAATGGCCAAGAGTGATAGGAGTGTTTTCTCACCTACAGGGTCACTGCTCTTTCTCTTGCCCACATCCAGTCTTTGCTGGTGCTTGACAAATCATGTTGAAAGAAAGAAAGTGAGGTGCCGGCGCTGTGGCGTAGCGGGTAAAGCTGCCACCTGCAGTGCCAGCATCCCATATAGGTTGCCGGTTCAGGTCCTGGCTGCTGTACTTCCGACCAAGCTCCCTGCTATGGCCTAGGAAAGCAGAGACCTAGAAGAAGCTCCTGGCTGCTGGCTTCAGATAGGCGGAGCTCTGGCCATTGCAGCATCTGGGGAGTGAACCAGCAGATGGAAGACCTCTCTTCTCTCTCTCTCTCTCTCTCTCCCTCTCTTTGCCTCTGCCTCTCTGTAACTCTGCCATTCAAATAAATAAATAAATCTTTTTAAATTTTTTTATTTTTTATTTATTTATTTTTTTTTCACAGGCAGAGTGGACAGTGAGAGAGAGAGACAGAGAGAAAGGTCTTCCTTTTGCCGTTGGTTCACCCTCCAATGGCCGCTGCACCGCGCTGATCCGATGGCAGGAGCCAGGTACTTATCCTGGTCTCCCATGGGGTGCAGGGCCCAAGCACTTGGGCCATCCTCCACTCCCTGGCCACAGCAGAGAGCTGGCCTGGAAAAGGGGCAACCGGGACAGAATCCGGAGTCCTGACCGGGACTAGAACCCGTTGTGCCGGCACCGCAAGGCAGAGGATTAGCCTAGTGAGCCGCGGCGCTGGCAAATAAATAAATAAATCTTTAATAAAAAATAAAAAAAGGAATAAGGGAGGAGTCCCAGCTGAATGATTTTCAAGAAAGAAAGAAAGAAGGAGAAGGAAAGAGAGGAAGGTGAGTCAACTCTTCAGAGGATGCAGTGAGAAGGACTGTACACTCTGGCTATCCATCACATCAAGGAAGAAGGAAGTGCTGTAACTCACTCAGGGGTAGGGCTCAGATGAGCAGTCTGTGGCATTGGTGGTGTAACAGGTGTAGACACGTGCTTTCTCCCACAGTTCCTGGATCCGGATTCCCTTCCCAGGACAGCTCATGGACTGGAATTTCTCTCCCCCAAGGCAGGTCATAGAAACTCCCATCTCCCCTGCCTGCCTGGTCCACTTTGTCTGATGGTGGGTGATAAGTGCCCCTGTTCAGCAGGGGTCCTGAGTCAGCCTGCAGCCCCCAGGGAGGAAGGAACGCTGCAGGGAAACCAAGAAGAATCTGAACGGACAGGAAAGGCCGTGCTGAGCGCTGCCTTTCTTCCCCACCAGGCTACTAACGTTAGTGACGTCTTCAAAACACATGGAAGATAGGGCTCGGGGCTTCCTGAGAGCCAAACGCACGCATGGAGGTTTCTGGAGGGCGGCCCTGGGAGAGGTTGGGGGCGAGGGGGGCGGCTGCGCACCTCTTCCCCTCCGTCCGCTCCCTGGCCGTCACTGCCCCTGTATCCTTTGTAGTATTCTGCATAAGGAGCCAGTGAGTGGAAGTG